TCTTAATTAAATTAATAAATATTTTTTAATTATAATAAAATAATTCACTACTCTATTAAATGTGATGAATTGAATGAAGGATTTACAAAAAAAAATTTCTCTCTTTGGCGTGAGTAACAAGGGGAAAACTGAAAGTTTTCCTACTCCATTTGGTTAGTATTACGTGTCTGATTTCCACTATTTCAGTTGCCAAATATTTTTAGAAAAATATAAAACTTATACTATTACGTTCCATATTTTCCATACATTATTTTAGCATAACCTGTTCATCAAGAAAATAAGTTTACTTTATCAAAATAATTTTATTTAGGTAGTAGAGATGATCAAAGTTCACTCTACTCCCTTCATTTATCCTCTCTATTAAATCAATCATTAAAGCTTAACTTCTAATTTGTTCTTTTTTTAAATAGTTTTTTCCCAAAGAATAGTAACATATTATTTTTTTAAATATGAATTTTATTATTATTATTATTATTACTTTTTGTATACTTTTATTTTTATTTTTCTTTTTTTTTTTAAATTTTTTTTCATTTGTTTGTACTAGAAAGTTAAAATTTCTACACCGGTTTCCAGGGCGTTACAAAATTTTTTCCTTTTTCTTCAATGATGTTCTTTGTTGTGAGGGATCAAGCCGCCATAGTTCACCGCTATCGAAATCGTCGGAGGTAGCCACGGTTCTTGTCGGAAGTTGCCCAGAAAAGTTGAAATGAAGAAAACAACCTCTATGCAAATCAATCCACTTGTGTTCATGTTTACACCCTCTAAAGTTTTTTTTATTTTAATCTAGCTTCTTCATAAAAGTTGTAGTCTTATGTCTTACGAATCCATAGCTTCAAGCACTTTGTGATTCCGTTGAGTAACGAAGGAGATATGGCCCAAATACAAGAGCTAGTACAATGGTGACGGGAAGTGACAAGTTTTGGGATTTCATGACGTTGCTTCCACTCCCGTTCTTCATTGAGACTTATCTCGTCGGTTTCCATGTTTATACCATGATTTTAAACAACTTTAGAAGGCGTGAAAAGATCCTTGAACATATTGATTTGTATATATTTGAAAAAAGAAATATTTTTGTATTCATTATCACCAAACTTGTCTTTGTTGTTAAAGCTTCAAATAAATTATTTAAAAATGTTCTAAGGATGTTAGAGAATAATTTTATAAAGTTAAAATGAAGTTTAGAAGCTTAAAATGATGCTTTGGAAGTTTGGACCGAGGTTGAAGATGACACTGTACAAATCTCCCACAAACACGATACCTTGATACCGCCTAACCAGTAGTGAGATACCGCCCGGACGATAGCTAGGAACCGTCAGAAGACAAACCTGATTTTTGACTTGTAAAATCACACCAGTTGGTACCCTATATCGTCTGGACAATACTGAGGTATCGTGACAGTACCATAGTTCCGGGACGCGTACCTTTTGACCTGAAAGTTTTTCTTATAAACCTGATTTTTGACTTGTAAAATCTTATTTTTGATACCGTTCAATTATAAATCAGTATGAATATCATTTACCAACTAAATATGATATTTTGATGAATTCAAGAACTTTATTTGATGCATGACAGTATGTAATGCCAGAAATCCGGCCTATCAAGATTAATTAAATAAAATAATTAATAAATTATTGAAACGGACTTGGTGTAATTTTGGAATATTCTTTGTTTGAGAAAAAAGTTTATATCATTGTGTAGAGTTCAACGGAACAAATGCAACGGTGCAAACAGATTTGGATTTGGAGCTCGTGGGCCCGAAAAGTACATTTTACACCAGGTACGTTAATTAATTACAGAGCCCCAAACCCCAAACGTATATATACACCCCTACACGCCCTAAACCTTATACGCCACTCCCCATATTTTACGCAACCCCCTCACGTAAACTCTCTCTCTCTCTCTCGCTACTCTCCCTCGATCATAAACTGCCCAACAGAATAGTAGTGCAGTAGCTGGAAGAAGAGGAAAGAAGAAGAAGGAAAGAAGAAGAACGAATTGAAGAGGAAGAAGAGAATTTCATCATCGTATGATTCCTTATCATTGGTATTATCCTTGTAATTCTATTTTTCGTAATCAAGGTGAGTACCTAGACATATAACGTATATGTCTATTTGTAGGTTTGAATCTTACGTTCGTAGAATCACTACTGTTGACTTATGTGAAGCCCTACATGATTTATGTGTTGTTGTTACGTCGTTTTGTAATTTAAAAGGCATGAATCAGAATACGTAAGATTAGAATGATGTTGGTTAATGTTTTGACTGCTAATATGAACATATTGATGTTTATTGTTATGAAATTGATGTTGTTTGATGTGAAAGAACGGAGCCAGTGCAGAATCTGAACTTGTCACGTCTGACGGTAAGACGGTACTGATGGCACGGTACCGTGCTACCGCCACCCTCTCCCTTTCCACCCTCATCTGCCAGTACCTGTGACTATTTTGTACCTAGGTACCGGGCAGGCGGTAGGCCTACCGCCGGGTCGGTAATGGCTATTGTGACAAACCTGCTAGAAGAGTACAGCTACTACTTCGGTCGGTACCCCCATACCGTGGGGATGGTACCTAAGTACTGTGGGGTCGGTACCCCATACCATTAAGCGTACCGTAAGGTACTTGAATTGGGTTCGTTCATATGTGTTTCATCGAGGATTGATTCCGAGACTTGTGTGTTGTATGGCGATAAACATGGGTGCTTACACCAGTGTTAGGCAGCTTTACGATTATGTTGGATATGTTGATTATGCATTGTTGGTTTAGAATGTTGTATTATGAATTCTTAATGAATATTGGACATAACACCTAGAAGAACTGTAGGGACTGACTTGAATGGATAAGTGGCAAGGTATGCCATAAGTAAAGTAAGTTAGAGCTATGTGGTACCTACTGGGTCCAATGACTATCTGGCTAAAAACGTGTGCACGGGGATCTATGAATTTTCGTTCTGAAGGGGACACGAATCTCACCCATGCAACGAGGAACTCTTGAATTGAATTTGAGCTTGACCTCCGTTTCAAAGGGGAAGGTCATGACTCCCATAGGAAAGTTCAGATTACTGAAGTTAGAGACAGGTATAAGAGCGAAAGTAAATTGTGTCAGTAATGAGAACTTTACATTTTTATTACTGGGTAGTTATATCTTATGAGCTGTTGTGATATTATTGTCAATGTTCTATGTGCGTGATATCGTATGATGATATGAGCTAGTAAGATCGTCTATGTCTATAACTGTATATTAGAGTTTTCTCACTTAACTTCAATGCTGAGAGCATATCATTTGTTCTTTTGCTGCACGTAGGTAATCTAGAGAATGAGGAACTTAAAGCCAATCCTAGAGGGCGATGAGGATGAGGAGATGTGCCTTGATGATTTTGAATTACTGTTTATTATTTAAATAACTTATTACTTTTACGGGCATGATTCCCATGTTGTGTTTTGATTAATGACTTAAGCTTCCACAAACATTTTGATTGTTACTCCGATGGATGTTAAATTATATTTTGAAGTATTACTTTGAATTCTTTTGAATATTAAGTTGTGTTTGGGTACCAATTTAGTAGTAACTCGGTTCGTTAATCTGTGTATTTGGGTTATGCGGGTCGGGGTCTTACATTTTGGTATCGAAGCATATGGTTTTAAAACCGTTCTTCGGATCACAAACAGATGATTTCCAAAAGGCTGCACCAGATCTCTTGCGACTGATTAGCCCCGTGAAGATAATAAGTTTATAGCTTTATTTTTTTGTGTTATTGACTGACTAGGAACTTATGTGTAAAATTTAGAATGAGTGACGCATCGACTCACGACAACACCCAGCAGCTTGGCAACGGGCAAGATGACTCCCAAACAGAGGAATCTAGCTTTATGCCTCACCAGAGTGCTAGTCAGCCCAACGTACCTCTAAATGCTAGGAATAACCAGAACAATGGGAACCAGTTTGAGTTTGCCATAAGGGTTGGATCAATCACACGAGTGTGACACTAGTTAACAAACAATACGGGGTAATGTACAAAAGTAAATTCCATAGAAATTCCACATAATGACATAAAGCTCTCTTTGATAAAGATGCTAAATATGTAAGTGGAATTCAAGTTAAAAATACATTGAAGTGCCCCTAAAGATTAAGTGGCAGATTTATTGATAACCAAAATGGTCGTCTGCAATCAGAGTGTTACTAGTAGAGCTGGCAAATCGGTCGGTCAGTTCGGGTTCGGGTTCAGTCACTTCAAGTTCGGGTTATTTTGGGTTCGGGTCACTTCGGTTTCGGGTTGAGAATTGTATGTTCATGACCCAGTGTCATTGGGTTCAGGTCGACCCAACGGGTTATGATTTTGTTTTTTTAAATTTTTATATTCGCAATAACACTAACATTTTCTATTAAATAAATTCAAAATATCAAAAAAAGGTTTTAAATCTATAAAATTATTTTATTTTAAACTCTAAAATAATTTTTAGATAAATAAATCAATATAAGGCATTTAAAAATGCTTAAGTTTTGGAAAAAAGTAAGATAATTATGCAATATCATCAAAATTTCGTCTGAAAATATAAATTTATACACTAAAAACGAGTAATAAAGTGTATGATTTTAAAAAATTCTTACTTTAGCGGGTTGGTCAGGTCGGGTTCGATCAGGTTTGACCTATTGTTAGCAGGTTATTTCGGATTCGGTTAACTTCGGGTTCAGTCATCAAAACCTTTGTTCAAAACCCAATGTTTTCAGGTCGGGTTTTGGGTCAAAAACAAGTCGGGTTAATTTTTGCTAGGTCTAAGTGTTAAGGAAGAAATAAAAATACTTTATTAAAAGGGCAGGTATTCTTAAAATGTCAAATATAGACACATGAATCGTTTGCGTTGTCTAAGACTCTAAGAGGCAAAATATAAAATAAATATATTTAACTATGTCTAATGAAGTTATAACTCAAGTGATAGTTCTCCCGACATAAATGGGTAATAGAATTTATATTAGTTAGGAAAAAAACTTATTTTCTAACTAATACAATAATCAGTTGTGTTCATTCTGACTGGTCATCTTCATAGCTTTAAATGTTTGATACTAAAATCAACGTAGAAATTGTGTCTCCTCTAATTATGGATATAGCATATACTCATCCAATCCTTCATTTTCTTTTAGTGCAAAAGACTCCCCAGAGAAAGTAACTGTTTTTTATTGTCTGGCATTTCACATCTAACACTCTGGAGGGGAAAAGAAGGAGCTCAACATCACCACTCATCTGACTCCTCAGCATCAAATCCTTGCTTTCAATGAACTTTAACAGTGAAGTGTAACCATGTGTGGCCTGCTTGTTCTTCGGGTAAAAGTACAAAGCAATATCGTCTGTATCGGGACAATCCTCAAAAATCGTGGGCCAGTATTTAGTTCGAGGATGCACGAGGAATTCCAGCGTTGAAGGCATCTTCTTTGAGAAGTTGTAAGCTCTACGACAAACTTTAAATGATGGATGAGCAGAGAACCCTTCAAAGACTCTGACAACTGAAGCAATATCAGTAATCTCAAAGTTCCCCTTCCAGATACATTTCTTTGTGGGACAATTTTGAGGACACACAATACTGCCATGGAATATGTTGAGATTATTTTTCTGCATCTCGCGAGACACCGAATGTTTAGGCAAGACAGTGGTAGAATTGGTGGTAGTATGTGAATTTGGATGTTTAGTCTAGCCCACCAACCATATCTAGATCTTGATTGCTTGATTTATAGATGTGAACACTAAACCTTCCTTCAACCCTAACTATAACATGTTCCTCTATATCCCCCTCAACCCCCAACTCCAAAACTGGTTCGCTATGAGGAAATTTAGAGCCATCAAATGAGGTAAATGTCTTTTCTCCATGTGTGTCTCTAGTGTCTTTATCATGAACAGAATTGGGTGCTTCTTCCCTTGCTAAAACATTGACATCTTCAACAGATATGCTACTTCGCAGAGTTGGTTTCACACAGGACCCTACTGGTGGAAATACAGCATCTTTAATTTCATTGAGTTTCATATCATCAGCTCTAGCATTTGGTTCTCCCGCATTGCCTTCTTCTTGAAGATGCAATTCATCAGCTACAACCTTTGGTTCTTCAGAAACGCTTCTTTGCATGTTTGGAGAATGCAAAATAGATTGCAGTGTGGTGGTGTGACTAACATTAGAATCTCCAATATTGCTTCTTCTTTGAATGTTGTGTTCATCAGAATGCCAACTAGAACCCAACTCAGCACTCTCAATTATGTCGGGTATTTTCTCATCAGATCTTTTGTTTGCTTGGTCATCCCCTTTGTGCACCATTTCCACGTCTACAGAAGCCCTAGTAGAAGGAAACCCTGCAGATTCAATTAAACTGATGGCTCTCTCAGCAGAAGTGTCATTTCTTTTTATTGGGTTGCTCTGTGTTTGCTCGGTGCATTTCCATTCAGGTGCAGCCCAACCAGATTTAGTCAGTTCTAGAGGTCCATCTGAGGAACCATTGGTTTCTACTGTGGTTCTGGGTTCCAAAGAAGCCATCCCAAGAGACAGTCTCTCATCGTCATTTTTGTTGAAGGCCACAAGATCATGTCTGTCCATTTCTTCTCCAAAGTTATTTGTTTCTTCCTTGTAGGAGATCAGTGAAGGGATACTAGTACATGCCTGACCAT